ACAGCCAGTGCTCGTAACTGCTAAACCATCTCTCCAGCCCCCAGACATAATTTTTAGATTATTGTTTTTATTTTTTTTTGAGACTAGGCTGCCTTGGAATATCCCTGAGTACTAAAATTACAGGTGTGTGCCATCATGCCCAGCTTAGAATTTTTTTAATTTTGCTTATTTTTTTGCTGTTTTTCAAGACAAGGTTTCTCTGTGTAGCCCCTGCACTCACTTTGTAGACCAGGCTGGCCTCAAACTCATAGAGTTCACCTGCCTCTGCCTCCCTGAGTACTGGAAATACAGGCTTGCACCACTGAGCCCCAGCTTTGCTTAGATTTTTTAAAAAGTCTGAGAAATTTTGTTTAGATAACATTTGTCAGTATCATTCAAGGTTTGGCACTCCTTTTGAGTCTTTTACAGATACCAGTGATCTTTGTGGATGATTTAGTATCTGCTGGGTGACCATAGGCCCTCCTGAGTAGAGTAGAGTAAGAACTGAAAGCCATATTCTTTAGAGAAAAACTTTTGAAGTCACTAGAATTGTCTGCTGCAGGAGTGACTATCCTACTGTCATTTGCTTGGCTGTGGAGAGTCTTAAGCCCCAGTGCTGAGGTTAGATGTGACGCCTTCCTTGTGTCGTGTGGGAGCAGGCTGATTATAAAGGAGAACCTTTGAAACTGACACCTCAGCAGAATACCTGAAGAAAGAATGTTGGGTGTTAGGTGGACCTTTGTGAAGCTCGGCAGGGAAGGTTTCTACTTGATTGCTGTAGGCTGCTCAGCATGCTCTGGACCTGGGCTTATTCAGTTGTGCTAACTGTAATGTGTTTCTGTGTCTTTGCTATGTCTCTTGTCGGAATTTTGGCTAAGGTTGAGAGATACTCAGTTCATCATATCCCTTTCAGAAAACACACACATACCTGACAGCATACACACAATTGATATGCTTTCATGCTAGCCTTTTTAGCAAATCTTACTTATATCAAGGTGGGTACTGAGGGGTATTGATAAGGCTGCTTCCTGGCAGGCATAGGGAGCAATAAACGGGACCTAGCTGTACCCAGATCACTGTGTTATGTCAGATGTTGCTTGTGAATCCCTTGTCTGCTATTTTGAAACCTTGAGATGTGTCTGCTGGAGCAGCTGACAGAAGATTCTGGAAGAGTGTGTGTGTTTGTATGTGTATATGTGTGTGAGCTTTGAGAAAGCAATTGTCTTTATGAATGTTGCTGCTATCATCACTCAGGTCATCTAAAAGCTAAAAGAGTATCTCTTGCTGCACAGGGTGAATTTGACAAGTCTGGTAGGCACCAGGCATCTTGTGCTTTATAAGTTTGTACTGGGTCAGTTAGAGACCAGATTGCAAAAGTGCTTCTTCCGCACATTTAGAAAACATGTCATTAACTCATTTCTGTTTCTATCCTTAGTGTTCTCCATGGCCTGACACCCCTACAGCCTATGTGAATAACAGTCCTTCCCCAGCGCCCACTTTCACCTCCTCACAGCAGAGCACGTGCAGTGTCCCAGACAGGTACCTGGCTTGTGTGGCCGTGTGCTTGCGTCTAACTGTTGCTCCTGCAAGTCCCTGTCTATGCGGCCTCATTTCTGTGTGTCTGTGTCAGGTGTGGAAAATAGCCTATGCTTAAGTCATAGGGTAGTCTTCACCTGACAGCCTTTGTGCACCTAGTCCTTCTCTCACCCTTTGACAGCTATGGTAATTGCAGAAAGGAGGTAGGGTTAGGGTTAAGGTTGTTAGAGACCAAAACAGGAAAATTGCGAGTTTAAGGCCAGTCTGGGGCTTATATAACAAGACCCTATCTGAAAACAAAAGGGAGAGGAGTTTTTAAGTCAGAACCAAGGAACTGTCTTTGAGAGATTTAAGAAAGCATTAGAGTTTAGTTTAAGGACACAGGGTGAGTGGTGGTTAATGTGAGGCTCTGATATGACTATGTTGAGATTACATCGATTACAAAGCACTTTGAGCTTACCACATGACACAGGTCATTTCTTTTTTTTTTTTTTTTTTGTACTGTTTCTTACCATTTTAGCAAATGTGGTTCTAATTAAGTATTTAAGATTAAAGACCAGACCTTTGGTTTTTGTGAAGACTATGGTAGCTTTCTAATCAGAACCTCTGGATTTTGTTGATTGTGCTATCTGGCTTTTGCAATTGTGAGTCAAGGGAACTCAGAGTGGAAGCTGCATAGGCCCAAGGCCTCTGTAGTAAGCCTTTGCCTCCTGCAGCCTTGCTGGAGGACAGTAGTTCAGAAGTTCTTGGTTTTAGGAAGTTTCTTACGGGCTAGAAAAATTAGGAAAGCTTGAGGTGGCAAGGGAAAGTTCTCTATATAGTTTAGTCTTTTGTTGACAGGGTCTGGTGAGAAAAACTACAAAATCCTGCCTTTTCTCTGTGGAGATGGAAAAACTAGCCAGGAGCCTGTTTTAGTGGTTTTGTCTACAAGTAGAAAAATTCTCATGGACCAGGGGGATGAGAGAGCCAGCGTGTAACACATACGGAGTGTCTTATGTTTCCTGTCTGGGTATGTTAGCAAATGGCTGTGATCTTAGACGTGAGCTTTGAATTGTATACCTTTAGTTAGTTGTCTAGATGTTTCCTGAGAGCCCACTGTGTTCCCAGCATGATCCCGTGTTGGAAGGGGCTTTATTCTGGTGAATGGAGAATAATGTAAGGTGTAGGAGGCAGGGAGTGGTGAGAGAGGGACCCTGCTTAGGAATGGGGAAGGTGAATGTTCTCTATGCAGTTCTTTGCAGTTATCTTTATACCTTTAACTCACAAGGATGGTGACAGGGACCTGGCTGTCACCATCCTCATTGCTCATGGGTGGACACGTTCATTAACGAGGAAGATTTGTAGATTTAGCTAGATCCACTGTTTCTTACAGCCTAAAATTTTCTTAGACTGTTTTCTGGTTATTTGTAGCTGTTTCTTTTCTATTTAATTTCACATAGTTTCCTGACTGAAAAAATGCATACCTTCTCCATTTTCCTGGCACCCATACAAAGGCTTGAGGGGACACCTTTCACAGTGACTGCCTCACATGGTGGTGCTGTTGTTACTTCTTCTCATGTCCTCATGCTCTTCCCGCTGTGTTGCATTCTTGTTGCAAGCTTACATGGCTCTTTCCATAGTGATGTCCTATTTCAAATTGCCTGTGCAATAATTGCCTTGAATTTTTTAACTTAAAAAAAAAAAAAAAGTTAAAAACCGTTCCTTCCTTTTCCTTTCTCTAGCAATTCTTCATCCCCAAATCACCAGGGAGATGGAGTTGCACAGGCATCTGGGGAAGTAAGTATCTTTTCCTAGAACCATTAAATACTATTAGTGTCTTCATTTAAAAAGATTCTAGCCAAGTTATGTGAGTTGCTCAGTCATCAGATTGTGTTCTGACTTCAGGTTTTAAACCCTTTTAGTTTGGCTTAAACATTCTTCATGATGTGCCAGTGACTTCAGTTTTGTTTTTTTTGCTTGTTTTGCTTTTTTAAGCTTGAATAGTTTTATCTATACTCTTTTTTTTTTTTTTTTCTTTTTCTTTTTCTTTTCATTAATAGCAAATTCAGCCTTCAGCTACAACCCAGGAAACACAGCAGTGGCTGCTCAAAAACAGGTTCTCTTCCTACACAAGACTGTTCTCTAATTTTTCAGGTATGTATGTATATGAGTATTTGTATGTTTTTGTGTTTTTATTAACTAAGAATTTTTGAAACTTTTGAGATGGTTTTGGATAAATATATTACAAACAAGAAAAAAAAAAGTGTATTATCTCTCAGTTTTCCTCAGTTGTGCCATGTGTTAAATTCCTTCCAAACCATGAAATTAACATTTTTCCAGTCCACTCACTGCAGGTGTATTTTAGTTCTCTGTGGTGTTTTTATTACTTTAAAGTTAGATGTGTACATGTGCCTATATCTGGTACGTCCACATGAAGGCAGGTGCCCACAGGAGCCTAGGTCCCCTAGGCTGGTATTCTCCAACAGGGGTGCTAGTACCTGAACTTGGGTCTTCTATAAGAACAGCGAGGGCTCTTAACTGGCCATCTCTCCAGCTCCAGTTCTAACTTATTTTGAGATAATATTTGACTTAATGATAAACTGTAAAGACAGTTGGGAGATGATCTCTCAGTTTCTCACAAAATTATAGTACAATATCACAACCAGAAATCAGCGCTGGGTACCATGAGTGTATAGATCTGTCATGCCTTGAGTGTAGCTCTGTGTAGCCACCACAGTTAAGGTACAGATGTAGGGTGTCTGCCTACACAGGTGCTCTCTGTCCTTCTGCCCCTTTTAAGGTCATCCCATTCCCCCACCCCCACCCTCTTTTCCCACACACATTGAACTGTCCTGCCTATGGTTTGGTCATTCTGAGAATGTTAAACAAATGAAACCCTACAGTGTATGACCCTTTGAATCTGGCCTTTTCTTCCTCAGCCTTATGACCTCAGGCCCCACAAAGGCTGCCCTGTGTCCTGTGGATTGAGCCTTTTCACATAGAGCAGTAGCTCATTTGTGTGGCTTTGCTCAGGTGTGGATGTCATAGGCAGCCTGCTGTTTTTCTGCACAGGAGACTACGGGAGAGTTCTGGTGGGACTTTAGGTGTCAAGCAGCACTGCCCCAGGTAGTAGGGCATGCAGGAGAGAGCATATAAGAGGCAGGGGCAGTCTTAAATATCCCTGGCCCTGGTGCCTTTCCCATAGTACTTTTGCTAATGTGCCCTGAAGAAACATTCTGAGAAATGCTGGACCACATGGATGTGGCAGCTAGCAGTCCTTTTGCATGTGTATGGAGCTATTGAAACAGTTTTAAGAAGACAGGCATATGTGTGCACATACCCAGCTGAAGGAAAGCCTGGTTTCACAAACAGTGGGATTTCTATTATGTCATTTCTGATATTGTTTGTGCATGTAGCTCTTTGACTCTAAAATTAAAGTACCACATGGAAATAATTTGCTAGCCGAGATCCACATTTTTATATGATTAAGTAAAGCGTTTAATGTGTGAAAAACTAAAAATTACAGAATTCAATATGGAAGAAAGATGTCATGAAAAGCACAACCCATAGAATAGCCTCTGACAGCTGGAACCCTGCAGGTTATCCAGACCCAGTGATGTGGAGCTGTAAGATTTTTTTTTTTTTCCTTGTGCACAGTGATCACAAGGCTTGGCATTCTTTTTCCTTAACCTGGGGGCTTCCTTTGGAGGGCTTAGAGAATGGCAAGGATAGAGAGGTCTTGGGCATCTGTCACATGTCAGCTGTGACATGCCATCTGTCCCCTTCTCTTCATGGGTTACAGGTGTCACAACTGGAAGCCCTGCTTCAGAGCTTTATATAGTGCCCCCAGTAAAAAGAAAACCTCTTTATCTGCTTCTTCACTCCAGGGTTGACTCCAGAGCGCCTCACATCTCATGGGAGTTAGGCTTCTCAGGACTTTGTTCCTTTTACAAGCTAGAACTCTGTTGGGCTCTTGCATGTAAGCTGGGTGGTGGGGAACAACCCCATTATCTTGCTATACATAAGAGTAGATATTTATTTTACAAAGTCATAACTTATTCTGGAAGTATGGGTCTTGACTGATATTAAAAGAGTAAAACCAAGATTTTGTGGACATCTCCAAGTGAAGTACATATTGAGTACTTCCTGTGACCACTCCAATTTCACTGCTGCCCAGTGCTTGTTCAGTCTTGTATCCACTTCTCCCTTATACGCACTGGCCTTTTTGTTGCTTTTAAGGCAAATCCTAGACACCAAGTACTTAGAGAAGAGGTCTGAAGGAACAGGGTGATTTTCCACTTCACTTTCCTATCACAACTGGCTGCCTGGATGGAGCTGTAACAGTATCTAGGCTGAGGCTGCATATGGTGCTGTAATGAGACCCACCTTGCTTCCAGCTCACTGGTGACTTTGGGCAAGTTCCCCAGTTGCAAGAATTCCATTTATGTTTCAAAAAAGGAGAAAGGCAATAGTTTGGGTAGGACAGGAGGGGTTTGCTCAGGTCAGGGTGGAGTCAGAAACATGGCTAGCCACAGCCCAGCAACAAGGAAAGAAAGGCAGTATATAGGAGTCTTGGGAACGGACAGGACTTCTCACCGTGATCACTTATATATAAGCTTCTCATACCTTGTTACCACAGCACATGGTTTCTCTAAAGAACAGGTGTGTGTTCCTGTGTTACTCTAGGGTATGTGTAATCCAGGATACCCTGTTGCTGCTTAGAAGGACAGAACCATGTGAAGCAGCCTGCTATATCCATCCCTTCCTGCTTATTTGAGGATCTCCCCTGTTTTCCAGGTGCCGACTTATTAAAGCTGACAAAGGAAGATTTAGTTCAGATTTGTGGTGCAGCCGATGGAATTCGGCTCTATAATTCCCTCAAGTCAAGGTAAAATACTATAGGCTGTTCTGCGTGAGCTGAGAATGGGACCTTCTCTGTGTGGAGGATTTGGTGGGCAGAATGTGTTTCCACGCTAGGTTGGCGTGTGCCTGTGTGCGCCACCGAGCATCGGCAGCATCGTGCTCACGAGAAGACTGTTTTGTGTACACCTTCAGGGCAGGCACTGATGAGGGCAGAGGTAGACTAAGACTGGTAGCAATGCACATGGGCAGGACTGATTTCTTGAAGACGACTGGGTTTGTTGCCAAGAAAACAAAACTTCTAATTTAGGTGAGCTCTACAGAATCTATGGTTTTCAAGGTCATGATTTTTGTTAAGCAGTTATTAAATGTGAACTTGTAACTGTCAGTTAGAATGCTAGAACTGTGACTATGCTGGCTCTGAGACCCACTGCCTGCCATTGCTGTCTCTAGATTTGTGTGCTGAGAGTTTAGTGAGCTCGAGCCTTACTGATTTCAAATTGCTTAATCAATCTTGAAACTTAAATTTACCAGCATCTGACAGACCATCTCAATGGTTTAGAGTCTGGACCTGTGATAGTTGGTGTGAGGTGTGTGGTTTTTATATTCTTATTAGAAAATTATTTTATATTATGAAATAACACTGTAAAGTTCTCATAAGGAAAAAAATAGACGGTAGATTCCTGTAGCTGTTGATTGTACATGTGCTGAGGCAGCTTGCACACATAGCCTCATTGATGCCATCTTCTGATTGCAGGTCGGTTAGGCCCCGCTTAACCATCTATGTCTGCCAGGAGCAGCCGAGTAGCACTGTGCTACAAGGGCAGCCACAAGCTGCAGGCAGTGGAGGTGAAAATGGCAGTGGGACACCCTGCGGTGGGTACTGAGGGCACTTCCCTTCCCCTGTCCTTCCTAAGGTCGTCAGACACGAGCTGGATAACTGCTGTGGGATTGCTGAGTTACTGCTACAGAGTTGATAGCAGCAGCTGTAGGGCCACGTCCTTGGGAAAGGAGAGAACTAGAACCTTCCTTTGTTCTCAGCTATGCATGCTGTACCTCTTTTATATGGCTTCTCTGCAAGAAATGCCCAGAAGCTGCACAATAACTTGAATGTGCTGTGGCCTTTCTGGAGGAATGGAACATTGCCAGCTCACTGGGAAAATGAGGGGTTTTCTTTCTTCCTCCATTTCACTGACTAGATTGGGTGGATATATGGGGATTCCTGAAAAATGCACATGATCAAAGGTGGGTCTGTGTAGCAGTCTTCCCAAGTGTAGACCCACCTGAGGTGAGCATCCATTGTGTTCCATGCAGCCTGGAGGGTGGGTGCTGAGTCTTTGGTCAGTGTTAGTACAAGCTGCATAGTTACCTTCCAACTAAGGGGGGCTTCTTTGCCCTGCAGATTTATCCCATTTACTGGACCATATGAAGCAGCTGGCCTCTCTGTCTTCTCTTCCTTCCCTCCTTTGATTATAAAAATTTCGGGAAAGGGAGACTTTCAGACTAAGACACGGTCTTACTGGGTAGTGTAAGCTGGCCTCAGAGCTGCCATTCTCCTACTTCATCCTCCACAGTTCTGGCGCTGCAGCTGTGCGTCACCACTTGCTCTCTCTTGGATGATGCTAGTAATGTCCCCTCTTCTCATGTTCTGAAACAGAATAGCTGTGACATTCAGCTTCAAGGAAACAATTTTAGAATTGAGAGAGGCAGTTACTTACCCTGAGAGTAGACAAAGCTCTGAAAAATATTGCATGGCTTGGATTTCTTTAAATAAGTGGAAGAGCAGTAATCACAACCGTGAGCTTTTCCATCTGTGTAATTTAAACCCCAGGCATGAGCTTTGGCTGTTAAGACCAAGGATACAATTTTTTTTTTTGTTTTTTTGTGACAGGGTTTTCTTTGTAGCCTTGGCTGTTCCGGACTCGTTTTGTAGACCAGGCTAGCCTCAAACTCAGAGATCCAACTGCCTCTGCTTCCTTGCATGCTGGGATTACAGACATATGCCACCGCGCCCTCCTCACTTCCAGCTTTGTTTTATTTTTAAATAAAATCTCAAGGGGCTGGAGAGATGGCTCAGTGGTTAAGGGCACTGACGGCTCATTACAGAGTACCTGGGTTCAATTCCCAGCACCCACATGGCAGCTCACAACTATCTGTAATTCCAAGATCTGACACCCTCACACAGACATCCATGGAGGCTATTATAGCCCTAAAAAAGCCACAGACAGCATGTGAACAATAGATTTGACCCTGTTTCTATAACCAGAAAGTTGCTTCCATTTTATTAAAAGAGTCAGAGGGCAGATACTGGTCCCCAAATATTGACAAGGCGATCCTTCAGAGTTCCCTTTAGTTTTGAGCCTTTATTCTAAGCTTTTCCAAGTGTGTAATTAGTGAACATTCCTATACACGTAGCTGCTCAGTTGGAAAACCAGCTTTGCAGCTTCCTTGTTGCAGATCCATGTCTGGCTTGAGTCGGTGTTTGAGCAGTATCCACTTGAGTGACACACAGATTCAGAGTGCTGCTGACTTCAAGGCATGGACAGAAATATAAGACAGTGAATGTTGAACAAGGCCAGGACTGTCCCTAAGGAAGAGACTTCACTTTCTATATTCTTACTTTTCATAGGGTGTTGTCTCTATTTCTTTTAACTTTGTATGTATATAGGAGATGACATAGATGATTTTTTACTATTAAATCCTCATTTGAAGGATTATTGGCTCAGACTCCTTTTAGATTTCTTTTTATGCATCATTACAAATACATTGTTGAGCTAGGTGGCAGTGGAGCACACCTTTAATCCCAGCACTTGGGAGGCAGAAGCAAGGGAATCTCCATGAGTTCAAGCCCAGCCTGGTCTACAGAGTGAGTTCCAGGATAGCCAGGACTACACAGAGAAACCCTGTCTCAAAAAACAAAGAAAAGAAAAACACATTTTTTAAACAGCTTCTTTGTGACGTAATTTATACAACAGCCTCCCCCTCCCCATTGTGTCTGCAACAATTTTAGCCCATGTGTATATTTTTTTATCCTTTGCTCCAATCCATTGTAAGTTCCATTTACCCTGATTATCCTGATCCCTGATGCTCTTTTTACTCCTCAATATATGAGGCTTTGTTGCAGAAAAGAATATAGTCATATCATTTTATTATAAATGAACATAAATAATGTGTTCTTATACTTCAAATAGGTGGGTAGAGAATTTAAGGGGACAAAGAAATGTTACCATGTCCCTATTTCTAAGTTTGAATTTTCTGTGCCAGTTTGGAAAAGGTAGGCTGTATAGATCAAGTTTAAAACAGATCAAACATTATTGTTAAAATGGCATTTTTCTTTTTTTCAGTTTATCATGCAATCTACTTGGAAGAAATGGTTGCTTCAGAAGTTGCTCGAAAACTTGCCTCCGTGTTTAATATTCCTTTCCACCAAATTAACCAGGTTTACAGACAGGGCCCCACTGGTATCCACATTCTTGTCAGTGACCAGGTAAATCAAACAGTCGGTCATCACTCTTCCATTACACTGGCACTCGTGTGTATTGTCACAACTGTAAGAGATGCTGCTGACCTCTTTTGCAAGTAGTAATAGTCATTTTTAAAGAGGAGGGATCAAAATGGCTAAGAACTTACAATCAGGAGTTACAGTGTCCTAGTAGCAGAAGGAATACAGTCAAGGAGAGTGGACTGAGCTTCTCCTAATCTTTTTTAACTCAGATACTTACGGGGATCAAAGGTTTGTGGCAGACTTCGGTCCTTTCTGTGAGGTGAGGTATTAGGTATCTTTCGTGCATTACTGGAAGAACAGCATTCTAAAAACATGTAATATTAGAAGTGCATCCTACCCCTGCTCCAGCTATGTTCGCTGACAAGCAGTGGCAATAGGGAAACAGCTTGCATAATGTTTGAGTTAGTATCATCCACAGGACCTGGCACAGCATGTTCCCCTGTGGCTCACGGGTAACAGGTGTAAACGTTTACTATCATTCTGCTGTCAGGAATTATTTGCATCTGTATTTGTGTAAAAAAGATGCATAGATTATGTTGTAGCCCTTTAAGTATAAATTTAAATAATTTCTGGTCAGTTAAGGACTGATGGCTCTTAATTACACTTACACATCTGCTTTATCCTTCTAGATGGTTCAGAACTTTCAAGATGAGAGTTGTTTTTTATTCTCCACAGTAAAAGGTACTTTTTATGTGTGTGTGCCTTGATGTGTTGTGATCATGAAGGACATTGTGCCTTGATTAGCAGCTCTTCTGTGTGTGTGCATATTCTTGAAAAAGATGTCTTTGCTAATTTTAAAAGGGGCTGGAACATGGAAGAACAGTATTTTTAGTGTTTGTAATAGAAATTAGCGAGCAAATATAGAAAGGGTCATTTTTTTCTAGATGACTAGAAACAAACACTGAGTCCATTCAGCTAGTGTTTGCTGAGCATTTTGTCCAAGACAGCACTCTGCTAGTGGTTGAATGGAATTAGGGGTTCAGGGAATCTCACTGTAGTGGAAAAGAAAGTCAGAATTGGCCACAGGCACAGAAATTGACCAGTGTCAGGTGCCATGAAGGGATAAGAAAGTATAAGGCTTGTGGTGGTGGGGTAGCATGGAGCCTTACAGAGGCTCTTCTGAGGAGGTGGCCACAGGGCTAGCCAAGGGCAAAGTGAGACTGTGCCAAGTATGCACTTGGCTTCTGTGAGGCCTGGAAGACGGCCATGCAGCTGCCATGCAGGGTGAGGGTGAGCAGAGCAGAATGGAGTTAGGGAGGGAGGTAGGCCCTGCATGCAGTGATAATGGGTGATGGTGCTCATTAGCTCTTATGGGTTGGAAAGTCAGTGAAGTGGTTTAAACACAGGAATAATAGAATCGGGTTTTCTTCAACTCCAACTGTGGAGACAGTTTACAAGATTGCAAAACTGGAGGTAGGGAGTCCATGTAGGCAAGAGGCAAATGAAGTGTTTGGACGTGTGGACAGTGCCCACTGGATGTCCCCGAAGTAGCTGAGAGCTGAGCAGGCTGTACAGAACTAATTAGGAACAGTGTGGATGGAACAAGGTCCAGGCCAGGCCAGGTAAGCTCCAAACTACAAGGTTAGAAAGGGAGGGCAGACAGACCATGGGTTAAGATCAGTTACTAGTCCCATCCCCTAGAAGAGGAGATCTTGAGTCACCTGGTAATGGCTCTAGAAAGGAGCTCCCTGAAAAGATTAAAAATACAGTTTTGCTATGTACCTGATTGGGATATATGCCACTGGCCATCAAGCTACCCAACATTCTGGAGTGATGCCTCATGTAGCATCCGTTCCCTGCACATGTGCGGCAACAGTGAACTGGTTCACTACTTTCATGCAGAAACATCTTTAACTTCAAAACTAGTGGGTATTTGTAGCATTAGTTCTCACAGGATTCTGTCCAGTCTTACTTTCCTGTTTGTGAGACTTCATCCACATGTGAACCTTCATTTTCTGTCATGAGGCCATTAGGCAGTCTTGCTATATCTACCTCTGAGGGTTCAGTTTCCCAGAAAAATAATAACTAAAAATGTGCAGCTACAGCAGACCCTGTAGGCTGCCGCACGCTTGTGCAGGGCTTTAGCCTGTTTTGTCCTAGCATACACACACACCTCACCCTGTAGAGCTGGCAAGTGGTGGTGCAGGGCCTGGGCTCCCTGAGCAGTGTTCAGGGAGTGTGTCTGAGGGAAAAAAGAGCTAGAGCAGCGCAGTCAGCTTCTAATCAGGCTGTAACCTCTAAAGCAGACTGTACATTTCCATCTTTAATACTGTTTCTAGTCTAAGCTTATTAAAAGTTTTAATAAAACTTTTCGCTTTTTTTTTGCAGCTGAAAATAATGATGGTATTCACATAATTTTGAAGTGATACCTTATACAGACTGAACTCTATTCAGTACCAAATAAAGTCATGCTTAAAAGTGTGTGAAGACTGAATCCAAGAAGTCTTGGGATTGGATTTTACTGTGAAATGTTTCATATTGAAAACACAAGATGACCTTCCTAGTGAGCTGTAGGAGAGACAAGTCTCCTCATTGTCACTGCCACAGCCCAGCGTCCTCATGAGAGCGAGCATGCCAGGTGACATGCCAGCTCCCAGCCATGGTGTGGCACGAGTGCCCACTTCCCTAGCAGGGGCCAGCGGACAGAGTTCCCAGCAGCAGTCTCTACTGGCGTTTTACACTGTATGCGGTTTGAAATGAATGTACAAACTCAACCGTGGGCATTTACCTTTCTGTGCCAGTTTGGCTTTTATTGCCTGACCCTTATGCTGACCTGGGGAGGAGGTAGGGAGTTCCTGGGGGAGCTGCACTGCACTGATGTGGCAGTACTGGTCAGGTAAGAGGCTGAGCACCTTCTCAGAAGTGATCATGTCTGAAGGTGTACATCAGAGGGGAGCACACCAGACCAGGGAAGAGCCAAGCCGAGAAGATGAGCAAACTGCACTATCAGCAGTACCTTGAGAGAGGTCAGTGTAAACCCTAATAGGTACAGAGACTTGGGCCTTTGGCTTCCGCTTCCATTTTTAGCATTTTAGTTTCTGGATTTCACCTTTTGAAACCTCCTTGCCTTTTAAACTCATGTATTTTCCTTTTCTCAGCTCTCCCATCCCCACACTCCTGGTCTCTAGGGATCCCCCACTTCAGCCTCCCACGTAGCTGGGACTCCAGGTGCGCACTCACTTGGTCTTGTACCTGGCTCTGTTCTTTTGTTGGTGTTGTTTTGGTGGTGGTTTTTTTGTTTTTCTTTTTTTTTCCTTTTGGGACAGGGTTCCTCTGTGTAGCTCTGGTTGTCCTGGAATTCACTCTGTAGACCAGGCTGGCCTTGAACTCAGAGATCCACCTGCCTCTGCCTCCAGAGTACTGGGATTAAAGGCATACACCACCACCTGGAAGCCTGGCTCTGTTCTTAAACATGTTTAAAGCCTTTTCCCAGACATTAGAACTAGGTGATGTAACAGGGGAAACAAAGTATTGTCGATAGCTTCTGACTTGCTGTTAAAGGGATCTTTGTTTTGTTTTGGTTTTTTGAATGAGACAAAATTGCCCGTGGGAACACTAGATGTCATAACAAGACACTAAAATGTACCATATATCCCCTTTCTCCCCTCACATACGATCATGAATACACAGCACTCTGGTGATTAGCTAGGGGCTTTTAAGAGACTCTGCGTCTTTGCTGCTTTGTCTGTAACAGGTGTGCCTCTTCACAGAATCACACATGCTGAACACTGCTCTGAAAGGAACTCTGGCTTTTCTTTTCCTCCACTGCCATCACCTCTCTTACCACTCACGACTGCTCATGAGGCCTGTGGCATATCTGAGTTTTAAAAAAACTTCTTTCCATTTTAATGATGTAGCATCTCTGCCCATTTGCTCAGCTGCTGGCTGTGAATGTGCTTGTCTGACCCTTGTTGTTCAGGTGGGTAGGAATGATTAACTTTTAAGAGAAATCTCTTCCAGAAGACAAACTACTTCAGTGGGTAAAGGCTTTAACGTCTTGTTTTATTCATACCAGGGTTTAATTACTTGCTACAAAGTCTGTCTCAATCTTCTCATCTTGGGTTTGGCAGTGCTGTGGCTCTGCAGGCCCTTTAGGGAGGGGGGCATTCCCATCAGTCCTTCCCTTTGCTTTTGTGTGACACATGCTTTCTGTACCAGTCACGTATTGGGAAAGAAGTGAATTTATCTTCTAATTGTTTTAAGAGTTTTGCTTGTCTATTTAGCTTTCTTTGGATCTCATGATTTATGGAACAATAAATGTCATTTAATGCTGTGTGCTATTTTTTGAATTCCTTATCAGGTTTAGAAGTGGGGGTGAAAGTACTTACAAGCTCCTCAGACTTGAAATTGCGCTGAGCAGCACAGAGTGCTAGTCCGTCTCAGTGAAACTGTATATAACCCGCGGCACCAGCAGTTTGCTACTTTGGTTAATAGGATGTACAGCTCAGTGTAATAAATGTTTTCTGACTGTTTTGCAAGCGTGTCGCTCATTTAAATCCTAAGTTGTACTGGTGTCATCTCAGGTCACATGTAGTCAGAGGCTTCCCCGAGTGGCCTAGAGTGTAAGGTTCACCACTGTGGGCTGTCTCGCTCACGCTCTCTCTCTCATACAGGTTTCCACAACGTGATGCAACTCAAGACAAGTAACGACAGGAACTGGCACACAGAGGAGACAAATGAGCCCTCTACAAGAGGCTCTTCTGGGCTGCGAGTGGAGTCATGGTCACTGAATGTCAAGTACAGCATCTACGACAGGCTGCACTCTGGCTCAGAAAAACAAGTTCTGTGAATCAGCGGAGCAAGGCTAGGGGACTTGCTTAGTAGCTTCTCCCGTCACCTCATTACCCCCACCACACACACAGCGGTAGTCACTTACATAATTTCGAACCAGAGGATATTGCAGCGCCCAGGAGGCAGTATCCCAGTAAGCTAATGCTTGCAGGGACTCTCCTGGTGTAACTGGTCTCCCTCCTGGAGTGCAGCTGAGGCAGGGTATCTGTACACTGTCCGTGGAGAAATAGAAAACGCTTGTCTCTTATAGTGTGGGGGAGGGAGTGATGGCCAGGAAGGTTGGGCTACCATTAATGCACTAATATGGAAGGTGATGGTAAAGGTTGATGCCACTGAGTGAGCAGCAACCACAAGAGCAGGCAGGTCATGGCGCCCCAGTTCCGGTGACATGGGCGCCTGCATTTGGAAAGTGGCCCTGCTGAGATCTGCCACCTCTAAGTAAAGCAGTCAATTCCAGCAAGCACCGTGACGCTCTGTTCACTTTAAAGGAGCTCAGAAGGGCCAACACTTCACTCAGTGGAGTTTTTCATGTGTGAAGCTTCAAAATAGTTCTGGCGTGATTTCTAGAAAGAGTAAGTTTAAAAAAACCGCATCCATTCTACATGCATCCGTTCATCATTTTACTTGATTAAGTTATAAATAACTCAAGCCTTAATCCTGGATTTCTTCAAGGTTCCCCCAAATTTCTTACAAAGTGTGAACACAACTGGCTTTTTTCCTGTAACAAAAATGCACTCTATGCTGTAGCATATGGCAGAGCTTGCTTATAATTCCAATGGACTGATGAGAAGTGGGCTGCTTTTGTTTAGTTTTTGGTCCCAAGATTTGGGTATGACAAGTTGACACAAACAGAAAGGTGAAGATCCTGCCCCACCCAGCTTAGAGTCCTCATTTCTTTGGTGTTTTATGGAAATGTGTTAACATGCCTTTCACACGTTTCTACACATGAAACTACCAGCCATTCCAAGTTCCAGTACAATCACATTGATGAAGGTGGTATTTAGTCTTCGAAGTAGACAAGTCCTGCAAATCAACAATTGCCATGGATAACAGTAAGCCGCTGGCTTAAAGATCAGGTAGAAAACCAGCAGGAGGCTCTTTTTTTGTTCTGTTCAGGCTGTGCTAACACTGAAGGTCTATGTAGGATGCTGACAAAGCCGTGTTGGGCTCATGTGCCAAGGCAGGTACCCACCTCTGCTGGACTCCGGGTTGCTGTGTGGTTTTGCCACATGGTGACTGACACAGGCCTTGGTTTGCTTGCATCCTAGCAAGGTTAAGGTGAACATCACCAGCTGCTGCAATCTGTGCCGAAGTCTTTTAGCTGTAATGCACTCCCCATGGAGAAGCTCGATGGGGAGATGGTGGAGCAGTCTGGAGGGTGGGGCTCCTGGCCTATGCAGCTGCTGTCAAAGTATAACACAACACCTGCACAGTCGGTGTCCACTACCTGCCACTGCTGGTGGAGGGGTGACTGGAGCAAAGTAGGCGTGGACTTTGACATGAGGAAGCTGAGCCTGGAAGGAGATGGGAAACGGAGTAGGTTGCCCTGGTATTAGGATTCTTAAATAACCTTTGAACTCTAGTCCATTTAAAATTGACTGCCTTAGCATTAGGCTGGTACAATGCTGTAAGCTAGAACTGCTCCTATTCATTCCCCTCTACCCCCAAATCCAGCATTTTCTAAAGACAAGTGGAAACATTTCTCTTCCAGTAGGAGGGCTCACCATTTCCAAGTGGCCCCATCAATGACCTTGGATTGATTTCCTTGGCTGGCAGCTTGAGAAGTTGCCAGACTAGATGGGACCCCCACCTCTCACAGCAGATGTCTGAGGAAGCCCAAGGAAGCACCTGTGTAGTCAGCAGTTTGCATAGACACACGAGACGAGAGAAGTGGGCGTCATTGTGAGTGCACTGTTTGCTAGTGCAAGTGCATGCCACAGCTTGTGGGTGGCGGTCAGAAAACATTCGGGAGTGGCTTCTAGTCTACCTTGTAGCCTGTTCTTGGGCTCAGGAAGACAGGCTTGGCGGTGAGCACCATCCCCTGCCTGGCCTTCCCTCCGTTGTTAAGGAGGGCCCCACACTTACCCGCATGCGCTTGATGCCTGCACGGGTGACCTGCTGGCAGTCGTACAGCTCCAGGCGCTCCAAGCCCCGGCAGTTCTCCAGGTGCTCCAGCGCAGTGTCGGTGACAAGGAGGCAGTTGTCCAGCTCCAGAACCCTCAGCCTGTTGTGCCCACATGTGCTGCTGCTCAGGTGTAGGATCCCTTCATCCGTGATGAGCTCACAGTGGGATAAGCTCTGGGGGAAGAAAGAGGACCTTATCTCAGGCTCCAGCTGGTAAAAGCCGGGAGAGCTGTCTCCTGAAGCGCCCACGGTGAATGAATGGAGGGCCGGAACAGCTGGAGACCATTCTTCAATCTAGGGGTTTCTCTAAGAGCAGTACAAAATGGAGGCGCTGGCAAGGCCTAGGTTTGCTCCACCCAGGCTGTGGCAGCTAATTTTCTTATATTTTTGGCCTAAAAACCTTTTGGGGTCCAAGTTGGAAAGGGCAGAGTGCTCTGAGGCCCAGGCTTCTGGAGGCGAGTGTCAGACACAGAGTTTAGCAGGAAATAGTGGCTGTCCCTGTAGGGGACAGATCACGGGCGTGCTGGCCATGTAAGCCTCTTTTTGTTGTTGTTAACATGTAAGGCATGCCAATGCCACGGCAGACTTATGGGAGTTCTTTCTACCACCATTTGGGTCACAGGAATCCAACAAGGGTCATGAGCTTCTAGGTTTTCTTTTGATCCCAGGGTCACTGGGAATATGTTGTTACCTCTTCTCTTGTTCATCAGTCCTGATATACAATCCTGATAGTTCTTTAAATGTCAGGAAGAATTCTATAGCAAATCTGTTTATACATGTACATTTGGAGGAATTTAGAGATTATAAGTGAATTTCCTCAAGAGGGATTTTGGGGTTATAGCAAATGAGTTATTTGTCCATTTCACCTAAGTTGTCAGATTTCTGTAGTTGTTCCTCCCATAGGCTGAGCATCCATAATGTGAAAATTTGAAATTCTTCAAAATCTAAAAATTTTTGAGTAGCAACACAGTACCACAAGTAGGAAATTCACTACTAACCTCATGTGAGTTAGTGCCTAATGCACAGTGCATAGCAATTGGGAAAGGTGCAGATGAGACAGAAGATGAATTTGTGTTTGTATTTTTAGATTTTGGACCTACTACTTCATGAATAAATGTGTATAATGAAACAAATCTGAAAAGCCCAAACACCTCTGTCCCAAACATTTTGGATAAGGGGTGTTGGATAGACCTGGTGACAGCCCCGTCTTGTTTCCAAAGCAGCAGCTGGCGTTGCTAAGATACTGCGGCAGTGTTTTTGTTCTCAGTTTCACTGATCTCCCCCATGTTATGTCCTTCTGATTTGGGCTTTGCTTTTTAGCAGCCTCGTGGGGTTGAACGATGAAGTCATTGGAACCTTTCTCAAATGTAAGCATTGGTGTTAGAGTCTGCAGAGCGCTGTCTTCTTTAAACCACACACTGTAGTGTTTGTACTTTTATTTTCAGTTGACTTTACTCTCCTGAGTCTTCCTCCTTGGCTGCAGTTATCTAGAAGCCTTCTTTTGAGTTTCTACAGGTACCCTCTTCTGTTGAAAAAAGCCTGGAACTCTAGTTCAGGTTATCACTTGGTAGGGCTCAGGCCTTTCAGGGTGCCCTCACTGTGGAACTCATTCTCTTCCCTCAGCCTCTGGTAACCATTGTGCTACCTTCTATCCAGGTGACTCTGACTGGCTGTCCCGGTGGAAACACCTGCAGAGGACGACACTGTCTTTGGAGGACTGGCACAATTCACTTAGTACCCTTCCTCAAGCTCATCCGTCTTGAAGCACGTGCCAGGATCTTCTGTCTGAACAGCATTCTCTGTGTGTGGATGCAGCATGTTGCATTTATCTGTCAGTGGGCATTAGGGTTGTTTTCCCCTTGGTTGCTGTGGAGTAATACTGTGAATTTCAGTGTGCACTTCCGTCTCTCACGTCTAGTTGAGACGTCTCTCTAGTTGGCTTGTGGTTTTTTTGTTTTGTCTTTGGACAGCAGCAGCATGGCTGGACTGGGCACTGCAGTTTGGAACATTCTGAGTATCCAGAATGTTGCCTTCTGTAGTGGCAGGCTCCTTTTACATTCCCAGCAGCACTTTGCAAGGGTTCTGCTTTCTCCACGTTCTCCCAGCACTTCCTTTGAAGGAGATTCCTCCTCACCCCCTTCAACACACACACAGGATTCTGAGCTGAGGATTCTGGGCCTTCGCTAAGGCTGGTTCTGCCCAAGGTTCCTTGTGAGGAACTGGCTTTGGTGGTTGCAAGATGGACGTGATCCGCTTGGACCTACAGGTACACTTTGCAAATTTGGGAGGTTTTAGCCCTGTTTCGGTTCTAATTGTGATATTGTGACTGTCTGAAGTCAGCTCTAAAATGCAGTCATGTTATCTGGCCTTGTCCACCAACTACCTCTTCTCATCTGAGGCCAGACTGTTCTGTTTCTGTTGTATCCAAGATACTCCCATGTCTTTTGTACATCTCGTTGCACCAGGCCTGTGGCAATGTTGCTGTGGGGTAATGCCCTGTTGTCAGCATACAGTGGGCAAATCTCCATGCCGAGTGGTCTGATGCCACCGGGCAGAGGTAGGTGTTCAGACTCCTCCAAACAGTCCTGACTCAGGTGTGAGACAGCTGGTGAGGCTCCAGATCTAGACTCCCTATGTGGTCAGCAGTGATACAGCAGGTGGGGCTGGCAGACTGTCACTCCTGGGCAAAGATGAAAGCCTCCCAGCTCTCCATTCACCCTGGACTGGCAGGGTAGGCGGCACAGGTGTGTTTGCAGTTGCTATCAGAAAGGCTTCTCAATAGGCTTCTTAATAGTCTTTTGATAGAAACAACAGGTTTTTGGGTTTTTTGTTGTTGTCCTGTCTCCGCATCTCTTGTTGTCAGCTCCTTCAGAGTCCAGCCTGGGACGTACAGGGACTCCCTTAGTCTGATGGCCCTCAGGTCCCTGGCTGGCATCCTTACCCTCACTTAGAGGATCTGTGCTTAGGCACTTAGTGGAAAGTCAGTGATAAGGTAAGAAAGAAAAAAAGTTTTTAAAGACAGGGTCTCTCTATGTAGGCCAGGTTGGCCCAGACCCAGAGATCTGCCTGCCTCTTCCTCCTGAGTGCTGGGACTAAAGGTGTGTTCCACCTGACCTGCAAAGGAAGATGACAGCTAAGGAAAGGCCTCTGGCAGAGAAGGGAGGCTGACGTTTGCACTCATACTGGCTTTTCTATGCCCTACAGGGCTGCTGGGGCCTGCCAGGAGTCCCTCTGGCCAGGGGCCATCCTGTTGTGTCATGATGTCAGTCACAGCAAGCTGTCTGGGTAAGCTTGGGAGCCGCTGTACTACAAGTGTGTGTCACATAAAACCCATGCCTGGATTTGCTGGTAGAGGCTGCTGGGGTGGAAGCATGGGGCGAGGGACAACACGCTCCTCACCCATCCCTTACACAAAGATTCAAGTTCCAGAGCTGGCATGAGGGTGCTGTTGCCTGTCTTCTCCAGTGAGGAGCCCTCAGGGAACTGCAGCCCGCGGCCTTTCTCTTCAGTCTCTCCTCCGCAGCGCTGAGCTGTAGTTTCACTGCAGTTCGAGCCTGACTATATGCTCGTCATCTTTGGTGGGTTTTACCTTGGGCTCTTTTTTTTTTTTTTTTTTTATCTTGTTCTTTGAACTATGGTCGCTGCGTGCCAGTCAGGCTGGGCTCACACCTGAAGTCTCCTGTGTCGGTTTCCTAGGAGCTAAGATCACAGTTGCGGACCTCATGCCACATGACTAACTGTCTTGTCTTAGTTTAGTTTTACTTGGAAGTCCTGCTTCTAGAAGCAGCGAGTATAAAAATAAGGAGTGCACTGAGGTTTTTCTGTTTGTTTTTTGTGCTCTGAAACCCCCTGGGGAGAACCCTGGTTATTGTAAGGCATCCCCAAGAAAGGCAATGGATCCTGATCTCACAGGGCCCCTACCATGCAGAGGGCCCATGACTGCTGTTAGATCTTTCAGAACATACTCAGACCTCTTTTTTCCCCACAGCTGAGTAAGAAAAGCACACCTATCAGGAGAATGGCCCCAGCCTTTGGAGGTAGGTAGTGGTATTTTACATGTCGATTTTCATCGCCCTGACAAGAACATGAGGTTACGTGAAGTAATAGGGCTGTGAGTTCCTGCAGCTATAACTTCCTACAGTGGTTGCAGTAACACTGAGATACCCCACAGGCCAAGCTAGCCCAGCAAGGAGATCTCTGAGATGCAGAGTGATAGAGGCTTTACAGGAAGTGACCAGCACTCTTACAGGTTACGGGAGCGTCATTCTTCCGGCGATACTATCAGCAGTAACTCAGACTCACCAGGGCTTGCAGCTTGGGACAGTGGATGGAGAGCTGGATGAGAGTGTTGTCGGTGATCTGGAGGAAAACACGCCGTCAGTGTGGCGTCTGCGCCAGGACTTAATGCCTAAATCCTGCTTCTCCTGATGTGGGGCTCGGAGGGAACAAAAAGGAAACTAAAGCCTCATCCCCACACACTTGGCTCACACTGTCAGCTCCTAGGGAGGCTCACTGTTGTCTGGCTTCGCTTCTGGTGCCTGCGGGAGCCCGGGGACAGGATAGAAAAGCAGTGGACAAGGGGGTTCCCTGGGACCGCCTTCTCTGTAGTCACCCTGTCACCCAGCATGCAGGTTCATTCCTCTCCCACGCTTCGTGTAAAATAAAAGGCAACCCATGCTTAGGAATGGATGCCTCCTGCACGCCTCTGCTGTAGTCTGAGGTCCTGGAACAGCAGACGCTTACAAAGCCCATCACAAGTAGCCTGATGGGGCCCCAGTCTGGGGTAGTGGTAGCCTGTGCTTACTCCATGCCAGGCCCCTAGCAGTGACGAGGGGTCCACTCACCAGGACACACTCTTCAAGATCCATCTTCTCTAGGTCATGGCAATTCTGGAAGAGGCCACAAGACACTGCTATGCAGGCCACACAAAGGGTGGCCCGCAGCCACCTCAAACCAGCAGTTGAAAGCCAAGCTCACTTTGGACAATGAGTGTGGCTGCCGGGGCCCGAGATCATCGTCTCAGCCTAGAAAGTCGTCACACCTTCCTACACCACAGGTCAGACTCAAGGACAGCCTGCAAATGGATGCTTGGTCCTATGTGGAAGGTGAGGACAGGAGGGCACGGACAGGGTACCGCAGGCAGTATGGAAGACAGGGTAGAGCTTGGCCCCAGCGGGGGAAGCTAAGCAGGGGCCAGTCTGGTTTCATACAGGAAGAACACCTGCCCCTGGAGACAGGCTTTGTTCAAGGTTGGTCTCGCTGACAAGTGACAGTGAGGCTCGAACTCATCCCACAGTCCTATGAAGGCATGCAGCCCGTGGGTAACACTGCCCAAGGACAGGTATGGATGCGGTCCAATGCTTTTTTTGGTAGCTCAAATGTACAGTTCTTTTTTTTTTTTTTAATTTTATTTTTCTTTTTAGTTACATTTTGTTAACTCTGTAAATGTACAGTTCTTAAGCATGAGCTTTATAGATGACAGTGTCATGTTGAAAAGTTGAACACATCTGCCAGGATCTCCCTGGAGTCCTGGCCAGCTGACAAAAAGTGCCAAACCTACCTGAAGGGTTCTAGCCTCCCTCGTGTTCATCTCTTCTGAAGCTGGATTTTGGTTTGTTTGTGTACCCTAAAACCACCCTGAGTCACTTTGAATTAGGGAGATGAATTGCAGCACGGTTTTGTCTCAAACTCTATGCCTTACCCGAGCTAAGAGTGTAAAGCCTGCATCAGTCAGATGGGAGCATCGGGCAGCCTCCAAAATTCTGTGACGGGGGATGAGGGGAGAAAAAAACCAGCGCGCCTGGTTAGTGACAGAATCATTGCATGGTGCATATTCTCGAGCCTGCTCTGTGGCACATGGAGATGACCAGATGCGGCTCTGGTCATCTCCTGGGTCATGCAAACACTGCCTCTCCCGACAGATGGCGCCAGGCTCGAAGGTCTAGAGCACTAAGTGGACAGTCAGCCCGGAGCCTTCCCACCACTGTTGCTTTAAACACAGTCAAATGGACTTTGCGCAGGGCTAGCACTTCACCTTGGGAACTGGGCTTTCTTCCTGTATATTCGGGAAGATGATAAGCAAGCAGCCTCGACTTTCCCTGAGTTTCCCCACCCACTGACAGGGTCATCAGAGACCCACTCTTAGTCTGTGCACCACCAAACCAGTCTGACGGCAAAAGCCAAAGCATAACAGCATGAGGCACATTATGGACAAATGCACGAAACAGACCAGGAAACAGCAAGAGTCAGCCACCCTGCACACCCACGCTAGGCCCTTGATGGGGTCAGGCGCCCTTACTGCAATCCACCAACAGCCCTGGCTCCAGCACCCCTCCCTGAGGGCTGGCCAACCTCCCCTCTGGCAGCCTGGTTCTCGGGGAGCCACAGCAAAGTGGGTCATACTCACTGCAGTCTGGGGCAGTTGAGACCCAGGGCTGTGAGAGACGCGTCTGTGAGGGTGCCGCAACCCGAGAGGCACAGGGCCTGCAGCCGGTGGCAGCCCCTGCAGATCTGCACCACGCCGTCATCAGTGATTCGCTGCGGGGAAGGGCGTGGCAGTCAGACGCCAGCTCCGCACGCACCAGGGGTGCGCCGCCGCCCCCTGGCTTCCCTGACTGCCAGCACACCAAAGGAAATGTAAGCAGGCTGGGCATGGCAGCACTCGCCTGCACCCTGGCACTCAGCAGGCTGAGGCAGGAGGATTAGGGAGTCCGAGCCATCCTGGACTTCGTAAGTGAAACCCTACCTCGACAAAACCAGCCAGGCATACAACTTTGATGCCAGCACCCAGGAAGCAGAGACAGGTAGATCCCTGCAAGTCTGGAGTCAGCCTGGTCTAGGTAGCAGGTTCCAGACCAAGGCTGTGTTCCGAGAACTTGTCTGGGCTATCACTAAGTGGGTATGTGCCAGCACCACTAGACAAGAGTGGAGGGAAGCTCCTGCCCAGCTGTAGAATATTCTAGTACTAACAATGGACACTGAAAGTCCAAGAGCCCACCCTAACAGTCATCAGAAGACTCTTCAGGAGAAAATTTATCAACTCCTGAAATCCATGAATAAAGAGCTCAGGCCTCCCAGTTAAGGGACACATTGGTGTGCGGTGGATGCAGACACGTTGTGTCCTTGTAGAAATCATGCTGTGTTTATGTGCATATTTATAACATTACGCCAGGCAGTTCAGAGAAAAGGAAAACTGGTTACTAATAATTCCTTGGAGTTCTATTTAATGTGGCTATGAAGATCCAGAACAATCTTTGCATTCAAAGAGACGGATTCGTGCAGACATAAGCGTGTACCTGTTAAGCTCACCATCGGCACTGCTATGCCATGTAGCTCCAGGTCTGTCCTTTGGACAGTCCAGGCAGGTCTGTGATCGTCTATGACGATCATTGCTTTCTTCCCACCACCACACACATGACACACTAAGATTCGTTAGTCAAAAGCTGAATGCAATGTCTTTCTATTACGTTTCTCAAAAACCTAGGCTCCCCTTGGGCCATGCAGCTCATGGCTGTACGTCCACACAGCGGCAGTGAGGAAGGCTGGCAGTCCTTCCAGGCTACTGCCTAGAGAACATGCTGGCTTCCTCTTGCGCATGCCCTCTGTTTACAGCACTGCTTTGTGCGTGCATGCGTGCACAGCCTCAGGTGCTGTTCTTCAGGCTGGCCACCTTATTTTTTGAGATACATTCTGTTACTGGCTCAGAACACAGTGGGTAGAGCAGGCTGCTGGCCAGCGAGCTGCGTGAACATTGCTGTCTGCTGCCCCAGCGCTCAGCTTTTTTACATGGCTCTATGGGTAGGACTCAGGTCCCGTGCTTGCAAGGCCAACACTTAAGTGACTGAGCCATGTCCCCAGCCAGGTGCTGTGGCTCTCAGAGAGGGAGAGTGGGAGGCCATCAGTTCTAACACGTTAAAAAGAAATTACGCTGAGATCTTACCAGGCTGTTGAGGTCTGAGCATTCCTGATTTTTTTTTTTAAGAGCCAGCCAAGCATACTAGCTCACACCTGTAATCCCAGCTTTCAGTATGCTGAAGCGCGAGAGTTTCAGGCTAGCCTGGGCTATGCACTGAGACCTTGTCCATTTGTCTCTCATATATATGCGTGCGTGTGATATATGCCATATATCGTCATATACATGAAAAGCATAAATGTTTCTGCCTGAATGTGAATACAGGTACAGAAATTAACAATCGAGGCTGACTTCCATGATTTGGGGAGGTGCCAGTGGCCTTGTGCGGCCTTCCATAGCCCCTCACTTTACAAAGACTCGCGGCTCCAGTGAGGATAGAGGGTGAGCAGCCGGGGCCAGGCGACCGGGCCACGCGCCAGCCAGCCAGCCGCGCTGCACGTGCAGCCTGCCCGCGGGCTGCGCAGTAGGGCGGGCGGTGCGCCTGCGCGCAGATGCTCGGGCCGTACTTACCGAGCAGGACTGCAGGTTGAGGCTCACGAGCTCGTGGCAGTGGTTCTGGATGTGCTTCAGAGCTTCGTCCTCTAACTGAGCGGGTGGAGGAAATGAAAGAGGGATGGGATCCCGGTGAGGGGCCGGGTCAGGCACCCTGGGGCCCGCCGCCGCAAGGAAGGCAGGCTGGGCAGGCGCGCCCTCTGTACCTGGGTGCAACCTCTCAGGAGCAGGGCTTTCAGGCCCCGGCAGCCCCGCACCAGCGCCTCGATGCCTTCCTTTGTGATCTGGTCACACCAGGAGAGGTTCAGGTATTCCAGGCTCCGGCAACCCTCGCTGAGAGAACAAAGAACAACGGCACCTGTGCAGCCTCCTGCAGACAGCGCCGGACTCAGTACGCCAGGGGCGACCGGGGAGGAGGGGGCCCGGGGCCTGTCTGACACCCCTTCCTCCCCGCGAGCCGCTGGGAGTGCCTCAGACCGAGACACACCGCTCTAGTGGGGGGGGGGGGGGTGGGCTTCCCTGTGGAAGTGTGTGTGTGCGTGTGTGCTCTGTGTGTGTGTGTGTGCTGTGTGTGTGTGTGTGTGCGTGTGTGTGTGTGCGCGCGCGGGCTCTGTGTGTGTTTTCTGTGTGGCCAGAGGCTGACTTAGGGTGTGTGCCTACATTGCTTGCCACCTTTTGCTACTAATTTTTAAACCAGCAGTTGATTATAATGAGCTCACAAACAGACAAGATACAGCTAGATAACGCACAAATCAAACAGCACTAACCCAGCCTCAAACTACATCTCAGTGAACGTCAGAGATGTAGAAGGGCCATTCCAGGCCAGAGTTCTACCTCGGATTTCACACTTTCACTACCAACTACAAGTTTATGGACTTATCCACCACAAAAAGAAAAAAAAAAGAATTAAAAATAGAAAACAGGAAGCTGGAGAGATGCTCAGTGGTTAAAAGCACGAGGTTCAATTCTCAGCACCCACAGGCAGCTCACACCCGTCTGTAACTCCAGATTCGGATTCCTCACACAGACATACACACAGGCAAAACATACATATTTAAAAAAAAAAAAAAGAAGATAGGAAATAACTAGCTTTAAATTCTCTTTAATTTTAAAGTGTGTGTGTGTGTGTGTGTGTGTGTGTGTGTGTGTGTGGTTGTATCTCTGGATGCAGTTGCCCACTGTGGCCAGAAGAGGTCGCCATGCCGGATCTGGAGTTACAGGCGATTGTTAGCTGCCCGCACGAGTGAAGGAAACTCGGCTACTCTGGAGTAGTGCTGGAGTAGTGCGTACTCTTAACCCCTCTCCACAGCCCCTAGCTGCATGCCCTCTTTCATGACTCGTGTGTGCTTTGTCCTGCGTTCTGCCCCTCCCTGTCACACAGGGCCCTCTCTGAACCCGGCTGGAGTAGGCTGGCTGCCAGGTGCCAGCATTCCTGGCTCGTTACGCGGACTCCGGGTACAGGCTGAGCCAACCCTCGGCCTGCACTGCTCTCTGTGACCCCCAAGTGCCAAGTCCTCACCTGATGCCTTTCAAGGAGCTGTTGGTAATAGACACGCAGGACGTGAGATCCAGGTGTTTCAGCTTGGGACAGAATCTGCTGAGGCTGTAACACGTGCTGCAAGAGAGCAGGCACACTGAAGACAGGTCCAGCCTTTCTCTCTCTCTCTCTCTCTCTCACACACACACACACTCACATACACACACATACACACACACACCATTTCCCTGTGGTCACTCTGTCCCCAGACCCATCCTTAGTCCTACCTGTCAGTGATTTTTGTGCAGCCATTGAGGTTTAAATGTTCAATGTTTCGGCAGTTCTGTGCAAAGGTCCTAAAATAAGGAAAAAAAAAAAAAAAAGAAAAAAGAAAAAAGTAGCAGAAATGCTTTGAGAGCCCGGCGGCCCGCAGCGTGCTCTGGTGGCTGCGTGCTGCGGTGTGGCCACTAGAGGGCAGCACAGCCTCGCACTTCAAACAGCCCTTTCCAAACCCTCCTCAGATCAGCGAAGGCCACACAGACTCCAGGGCAGATGCTGGCTCTGCAACCTGGGTGGCTCTTAGGGGTTACCACAGGTTGAGGAGCGGAGGCCCCAAGCTACTCAGTTGACCCTCCCGCCCACTTTGGGGGTCATCTGAGGTGAGAGACCTGGCATTTCCCTACTGGAAAAGTCAGCGTGAAGCAAGGGGTAAACTCTCGCACTGCACCCTGCGGCACTCTGGGCCTGCAGCGTTAGCGTCACGACCCATCACCTACTGGCAAGGACCTGAGTCGTGGAGAACCTGCCTTGACCGTGGGTGATAGCCAGGCCAGAAAACTGCACCTCACTGCCTCTTTCTGCCAGGACACACACGCTCAGGCAACCTGAGCACCTTCCCGAGATTTGACTTCAGCGGGTCTCATGGCCGAGTACTGGCTGTTCCAGGAAGCACCCACCACTCTACAACCTGGCCACAGGGCGCGTGCCAGCAGCTCACTGTGTCCTGCCAACGTGTGGGGCCCCGAGCTGGATCCCTGTGGGCGAGGCTGGGAAGATGGAGCCGAAACCCACGAAGTCCATGATGCTCAAAGGGTACAAGAGGACTAGAATGCTGGCATCTGCCGTCCGTGACCCTGGCACGCCTGTGAGCAGCTACCTATGGCTGGGATGACAACTACCTAGGAGCATGACATCGGAAGGTCACCCCACCCCTCGGTGGGGTTCGGCGCTACTCCCACCTGAAAAACCTCAAAGGTAGGTCCTTGTTCCTGGGGTTGGGTAGTGAGGGGGCTCTCGCTGCAGGAATGCAGAGGCCGCCTAAAGGAATGCCTCTCGTCCGACCTAACGATCTTTTATGCTAACTAATGGGGGCTGGAGAGATGACAGTGGTGAAGAGCTCGTGCAGAGGGCCTGAAGACAGGAGCCACAGGCTGCACACACAACCATCTCTAACACCAGTTGCAGGGACTCCAGGGGCCTCTCACGGCCTCTGCGGGCACACACACACGTATGTGTGGACAAACGCTTACACACATAAACGATTAAGTCTTTAATTAATTAATAGTCCGAATGGCTGTTTTGTGGGCCTGAGGATCTTGTGCTTCTCATGTGCCACAGGAGCATACGCTCTGTCACAGCCACACCCCAGCCCCAAGCCTAGCAAAGGGTATGACCCTGGAAGACAGATGAAAGCAAACGCAGTTAAAGACTTCCCCAGTGAGAGCCCGGCTCAGGGTGTCTGTGGCCCCAGGAATGCAGCGTGTTCTGACGTTCCATAAGGAAGAAGTCAGTGGGATACTCTTCATAAAAACTTCTCTTGGGTGCTGGGGGCCGCTGAGCCCTGTTAGTTCAGTTCCCGTCACCCACGCGGTGGCTTTCAACTGTCCGAAACTCCAGCTCAGAGAAACCCAATGCGCTCCTCTGCCCTCTGCAGACAGCTGCCCACACACGGTGCACACAGATCCGTGCTGGCCCACACGCAAACAAGAACTTTTAAATTAAATAAGTCTGTAAAGAAACTTCCCCTCAGACAGGCCATTAAAAGGCTGGGAGAACACATCTGCAGAGGTACTGTGCCAAGCACTGGAATCCAAAACGTATTAAAAACTCTCGGAAATCAATAAAAACAACCTACAGGAAAAAAAAAATGGGCACATGGCCTGGACAGACATTTCCCCAAAAGATCCATGGGTGGTGAGTCAAGGCCCGGGAAGACGCTGATCAGCATCGGGACCAGGGAGACTCGGAAGAGCCACACCGGGCCACGTGAAAAGGGCATGCCGCATCAAAGGCTGGCACGGGCGAGGAAGAACTGTACGGCCACAGACCGAGCGGGAGCTTAAAAGAGTCCTTTCTCTTTGTAAAGAGATTCTTTAAAGCTAAAGGTGAGGGCTGGGGGGGCCCTGAGGTAGTTGTCAGGCAGCAATGCTTGGTGCCAAGCCTGACGTGGTAGGAGAGGAGAACCAACTCCCATGACTTGTCTGCCGAGCTCCACACATCAGCCATGGCAAGCGTGCATGCCCACAAATAAGGGGTGAGGAGAGGAGAGGGAGGGAAGGAGCAGGAGCGTGAGATAGACAGTGAGAGGAAGCGAGTGTGTGAGCGAGCGAGCGTTTGTCTGTGGTCACAGCCAATGTTCTAAACACGCCTAAGGCTAAGCTTGCAGTTCAGTGAGGCTGTGTATTAAATGCAATTGCAGGAGGTTACTTTTATGTGTCTGGGTATGTGTCATGAGTGCAGTGCCCGTGGAGGCCACAAGGGGGGCCTGGATCCCCTGGAGTTACATAGGTTCTGGGCGACCTGACACTGGCGCTGGGAAGTCCGCAAGAGCAGCAGGTTCTCTCAACCCCCGAGCCATCTCCCCGCCTCCTAAGACAGGGTTAGAGAACGGGAGCTCCGCACCTGCACAACATCTGCACATCATAGGATGGAGTACTGCTCATGCGCAGAAAGGAACGAGCTGCCGGTGTCTACAGCAAGGTGAATGACCCCAGGGCAGCTGCCCCGAGTGGCAGGAGCCACACACAGAGGAACGCTCTCCCTCTGATGCTCAGATACATAAGTAATCGATAGTTTTGGCCTCAAACTCACAGCAAACCAGGACGCGCTCTTGGCCTCGAAACAGTGCTTTCTGCTAAATCAGGGTTTCGTTCCACAGTAAGAAGTATTGCATCTGGCGATGATGGTGCGCACCTTTAACCCCAGCACTCCGGATGCAGAGGCCAGCTCTAGGCCAGCCACAAGCATAGCATGGGACCCCAAAACAAGCAAGCAAGCAAGCAAGCAAATAAATGGCCTTTGATAGTCCCCACCAGAAAGGCACACTTGTACATCTATTTTGGCGTCTTCAATGGGACAACTGTTAGATTTTTGTCTGGCGTTATAAGCTATATCAGGCCTGCTTTCCGATACACTAGACTCAGTCCGTTTCACTGACGGACAAAGCTTTTAGGCAGGAAATCTGGCCTGAACTAGCCTTTAGTGTATCAGGAGACCTACACCGTACCAGTGACAGTCTCAGTACGGCGGTTCTGCTCTGGCAGGTCACGGGTGTTGACCACAGTCATGCTGCGTGACCTATATTTGCCCCCTTTCCCCCACCCAATAAAGCCGGCTCTACTCTCTGCTGTATGTTTGCTTTAAAAACCCTCACGGAGGCTCACTGTGGTGTGGATCTCTGTGAGTTCAAGGCCATTCTGGTCTACATAGTAGGTTCCAGGGCAGCCAGAGCTAAATAATAGAGAGACCCTGTTTAAATATATATATATATATATATATATATCGTTTGTGGGATGGAGGGATGGCTCGGCAGGTAACAAAGGCCTGAGGTGGCAGTTAGCCTCATTCGTCAGCTGCAGATAAACCTAGAGTCACCAGGAGGAGGGGACCTCAGCTGGAGAATGGCTTCAGTCACTTGTGGCCAGATCTGTGAGGCGTTCTCTTAACTGCCCAGCCCACCGTGGGCGACACAATCCCTGAGCTGGTGGCCTTGGCCGTGTAAGAACAGAAGCTAGGCCAGCTAGTAAGCTTTAAGCTCTCATGTTGGCTTCCCTCGATGACGGACTGTGACCTGTAAGCCAAAGAAACCCTTTCACCCTCCAACAAACCTCGGCTCCCTGGCAGGAAGGGGGTGTGCAGAGTTACACACTATTGATCGCTGTAATCAAAGTAATGTTTTAGTCCCGTCCCACCATGAGGGAGCAAAATGCTATCAAAACTCTATGCCATAAAGGCATTTCTGAAAGAACTGTTTTGTGTGAGTAGTCTTTTCTAAGGAGCTAGGATGATGGGAGAGTGAAGAGCGGGGCAGAGGAGAGCGAGCAAGCACAATTCCCAGTGCTGATCTCCTGCACACCCCTGACTGCCCCACTGACATCAGGAGAGAGAGTTCACGCCGGGCAGGTGAAGCCGCTTGTCCAGGCGGTTCCGCTCAGGACACTGGGGTGTTCTTCCAAAGGCGTGGCTCTAGTTAGGCGAAAAGCCACAGAAAGGGCCAGAGCACAGCCTAGAACCAGCTTGCTTTGCTTTTTCTGGCGTCAACCATCAGCTGCTGTGACCTAGCAGCCACTGCGGCTGTCACTCACTTCAAGGAGGAGTCCCCGACGCCGATGCAGCCACGCAAGCTGAGCTTTCTCAGGAAGCCGCCGCACCTCTTGGAGATGTTTTCCACGACTCGGCCCTGGAACGGAGGAAGGTGGGAAACGGTCATGTTTTCCTGTTGCCCACGCACCAGCGGACGCTGCACTGTAAACGCTGTTTCCGAATGCAGCGGGAGGCATGCCCTTCTGCTCTCCAGAGGCCAGCCGCAGCCTCTGGGGACTGTCTTCCGCCTGTGCGGCCAAGAATCTCGGAGAGCCCTGCTGCCCTTGGAAGGGCGCGGACACACCCTCCTCATGGCTGTGGAAGCCACCGGGGGAATGAAATAACGCTGCTGACGAAGGAACTCAATCTTCTTAACGTGCGCGTTTCATGCGTGCTTGTGGCAGGCAGTTATGTTAGCCATAGAGACCCGTAAATGCTGAATTTGCTGCGACACAAGGCAGCAGGCACGCTGCCTGGCTTGCACCTCAGCTGGACTGCAGGGCTGAACTTTGACACTGATAATAGCCATTACGCTTTCTTGAGGATTACCTGAGCTAATTAATCTATTTTAATTTATGTGTACGTGTGTGGGTACCCACAAAGGCCAGAAGAGAGCGCTGGCTCCCCTGGAGACCAAGCTTGCAGGGGCGCGTAAGCCTCCAGCATGTGTGCTAGGAACTGAACTCGGCCCCCCTAGAAAAGCAGCCAGCGCCTTTAACCCCGAGCCACCTCTCTAACTCAACTTCATTTAAACAAAACCCGAGACAACTGCAAAAAGAACTCTTTGCTGCTAGGGGGGAAGATTAGGAGTTGGACATCTCAGCGTGTAAGCTCCTAACCGCCGAAGCCCGCTGCAATGTTGCTGGCTCTCTCTGATGTGAGGATTTCTTTCTTCACTGGAACAACAGTTCTTATGCCAGAATTTGCACTCAGATCTTTGAGACTCTGTATCATCTGTTTTCATCATGCTCGCCCCTCCCCCCTGCTCCTCCCAGCTCCGCTCTGCCTTACCCTCCCAGCTTTGCGGGTTGATTTGTCTTTCACCCATTGAGTCCAGCTTGTGCTGCCTATGCCTGTGCTCTTGAACGTGTGCCATTCCACTGGAACACAACCGGCAACCGGCTTACCAGGGGAATTATTCTTTTTTTCTTTTTGTTTTGTTTGGTTTTTTGTTTGTTTGTTTGTTTGTTTGAGACAGTGTTTTTTTTCTCTGGGTAGCCCTGGCTGTCCTGGACTCACTTTGTAGACCAGACTGGCCTCGAACTCACAGAGCAGAGCTCTGCCTGCCTCTGCCTCCCTGAATGCTGGGACCATAGGTGTGCACCATCACCTCGCCTGGCCCATGGACAATATTCTTAAAGAAAACTGACTCCTCACTCTCCCAACAACTAGGAAGATTGATGAGGAACATCCGATTTCTTTATTTTAATTTGTGATTTATTTATATGTGTATACTTGTAAAAACGCCACATCAGGTGTGTGGGGGTCAGGGGCTGATTTGCAGGAGTCTGTTCTCTTCTTCCACCACACAGGGCCCCAGGACTGAACTCACACAGTCGGGCTTGGCGGCAAGTCCTTTGCCCAGCAAGCCCTCTCCTGGTCTCACGTGTCCAGTCTGAAGGCCTCACCTCAGGGAAGCACGTACTCTCACAAAGTGACGGCGGCCCTAGACTCCCATCACTTGGACACGTTGTTCTGGCGTTTGTATGAAGCCACAGGTATGCAATCTACTTCCCTAATAGGAAGTACACACACTCGGCCTATTTGCTCCTCGGTTTCTTTGGTCTGCTTTTTAAAACTAGTGTATTTACCTCATTGCATGTACATGTATTTGACTGCGAGTTTATGTGCACAGCGTGAGTGTGGGAGCCTTGAAAGGTCAGAGAGGGCATCAGGTCGCCTGGAGCCCGAGTTATAGGTGGTGGTGAGCAACCAGGTGGTATTGGGAACCAAATCTGGGTGCTCTGCAGGAGCAGCCAGCATGCTTGTCCGCTGAGGGTCTCTGCAGCCTGGTGTTGAGAGAACCATGCACGCATGCCACTAATGCCTGGGCATGCTCAGAGCACGTGGGCAGTCCCTGCACTCATGATTGTCGCGTGCCCTGAACACCTGGGCAGTCAGGACTAACTGCTGTGTGTCAGCTCCAGGGACTAGACAGAGGGACCTATGGTCCCTCCTCTATCCTCCAGAGCCTGAGGAGGAACAGGGAGGTGCTCTGCACGCCTGCTTCAGCGGCAGAATGGAGAGACCCTGCCTCAGAGACACGACCACCGACAGCTGTCCCGGTGGGAGAAGGTGCCTGCGCCCAAGCCTGCAGGCCTGAACCGGTCCTCGGCACCTGCTGGGTGGAGGGAGGGAGCAGCTCCTGCAAGCTGCAAGTTGTCCTCTGACCTCCACTTACACCCCTTGGCAAGTGTGCGCGCACACATACACACACACACACACATACACACACGCACCAGATAAACATAATTTAACTGAATGAACTCACCTCCACATCTGTTTGAAAGTTAAAAAGATCTATTCTTTGCCAGTTGCTTCCATCCAGGGCTAAGATGTTCCAGGCCTGGGAGACAGAAGAAAAAGAGGGGGGTGGGTGAGAGGGACACACTGAGAACTGATATGTCATGTCTCTTCTTTCCAAACTTTTATTCTTGGCACATATCAAGTTAAAATAAAATGCAGGATTATCAGACTTATTTGAATAAGACAATCTAACTGTAACAGCTTGTTTGAACCAAGCCCGTCTGTCTCATTGACACCGAGTAACAATCAGGCAAAACTCTACCTTGGAAATCTGTGCACATCGGCATAGAGTTACGATATCCAGAAAGGAGAATATTCTAGAGAGAAAGAGAAAAGGCAAGAGGATGAGACCGTGTCCACATCTTAGGACGGTTAGAACTTGGAAGACAAAATCTAGGGCCTCAGCTGGATACACAGAATGCTCGGGAGCCCGCAGCCAGCAGCTGGCGCGCACCGCCTCCCCAAGGCCGCCTAAACTCGAGTGTCTGTGCGCACCATTCTGTTCTAGTCATGCCACGAATCCTCTCAAAACGGAAGTCACCAGACTCCTGCTCGGAGAACCGGGTGTGGGAAAGTGGACCCCTGTTCGTTCTCCTTGGAGACCAGTTTCCCAGGTGCGGAGGCGGGTAGCCCACTCCCTGCCGTGTAACCTGTCTAACGCGCGGTGCCAGCTCCTGCTGTGGCCTCCCCAACGGGACACTGGAGCCTCGAGTAACGTGTTTCAAAAGGTGTGACAGCCCATTCGGTAGGTGACCGTTCACGCGGCAAAGGGCTCCCCCTCCTTAAGTGGGTTCTCCCGGGCACCAGAAGCTGCGGGAGATGAGGAATGCTGGAGTGGAGCAGAGGCACTGACTGCGGCCTGCTGACCTCGCAGGGGTTTAGAGGAAGGTGGCCACGGGCGTGGCAGGGTCTCCAGTCCCTCTGACTCCGGGTGTCAGAGCAGGTTCGCTGTGTGAGCACGGCGGTGCAGGAGGGTGGGAGTGCTGAGGGCAGGCCCAACGCTGTGTGGTGAAAAGGAGAGGTGCGCGCTCGTGAGGAAGGCGGCAGGGGGAGGTGCCAGACGCACATCCGTACGGTTCCCAGCAGCCTTCAGGGGAACAGCTGGTGTGGAGCCAGGATTCCCTGGGCTCGGGACGGACCACACGAGCTGCACTACCAGGGTGGACCCACAGAATACCGGGGGACTACAGGTGACAGACGCCCTCGGTGAACACAAGGGACGGAAGCCTGTGGCTGTCCTGGCCTTAACACATGATCTAAGTGCAGAAGACGCCGGCGGCGGAAATGTGTGCTGACACACCCATTTCTCCTCCTTTTGTGTGGATTATTAGGGAATTTCACATAATGCACTCTGATCTCACTCCCTTCCCGGTCCTCCCGGGTCCACCCCCTGACCCTTGTGACCTCCTCCCAGAAGAAAGAAGAAAAAGAAAAAAAACAAGACCAAATCCATTTTGTGTGTCATATTCTCACTGGTGTGGGGTCAAACTCCTGGGGTCCGGCCCCTTAGAGGAAACTGAGTCCTTGCCCACCAGACCCCTACCAGAAGCCATCAACCGTGAAGAGAAACTCTCCAGCGTCCTCATCACAGTTTTTAAGAATTCTCAAGCTGGGTGGTGGTGGCCCACACCTTCGATCCCGGCACTTGGGAGGCAGAGGCGGGCAGATCTCTGTGAGTCCAAGGCCAGCCTGGTCTTCAAAGGCTTCCTGTCTGGACTGTTTCTTGGGGTGGGGGTGGGGTGGGGGGCAGAGGTTGTCACGGAAGCCGTCTCCGTCTTTCTTTTCCGGCTGGGAGGCTGCAGTCATCGGCAGCGCCGCAGGAGGGCTATTCCTCTACCTCAGGGCCGCTGCACCGCTAGGCGCTAGGCGACCTCTATCGGAGTTTATCCTGCTCGCCCCGCAGGCCCCCTGCCTCAAAAGCCATGTCGCTAGCCCACAGGCGGCCCCGCAAACTACCCCCGGACACATTTCGTGCTGGCAGTGCAAAGGCGTGTGATACAGATAAACGGGTCGGCTGGGGTCCGCTTGAGCACCCTCGGGGACCCACCCCGGAGAGTCAAAGTCCCTGTCTGTCAGCGACACGGCACCCCTGAAGACAAGGACAGCCAGCCTCTCACAGCGCAGCGTGCCACCACAGGCTGCACCTTAGTCACTTGTCACAGCCACACCCACACCGGGAGAGGACTACGGTGAGGTTTCAGAGCCAGGCTGGGTGGCCAGGCGCAGGGGTGAAGAGGGCGGAGCTGCAGTCTGAGCCCACCAGCCCGAGAGCCCACGCACACTGCCGGGAAAGGCTGACGCCTGCTGGCTTCCTTGAGGCTCAGCTGCCCACGGGGTGGAGTTCTCCTTCAGTGAGCGTGCTGTTTGGAAAAATCTAGACCCGCACGCAGTGAAACAAGAGCTCTGTAGACTGAACCGGGGGGGAACCAAGTGGGCCAGAATGCTGACCGCCCAGGTTTACGGTCACTGAGCGGGAAAGTGCATCGTGGGGGTGGGGGCGGGGGCCACATCATTCTCCCCACGCACATCTTTACCCAGAATGCAACTTTTGTTTGATGGTGGCTGTGCCGGCTCAGTGCCTCAAGCCAAGCTTGTCCTTCCCCCCACGGATGCACTCACTCTGTGGACCAGAAGAGACCCTTTCAGCCCAGGTTGCCTTAGTTGGAGTTTTTGATCGCAGCAACAGGGAATGACACAAATCTACTTGTAGATAGATAGCTGCTCCATCGGTCCTGTCCTGCACCCTGAGAGCCCAAATTCACTATGGAGCTCTGTCCTATGTTCTGAAGTCCCATCGTGCAAATTCTTTATCCTTGTTCTTCAGTGGGTCCATCCTCATTATTCTTGACCCTCTGAATTTCCATTTACACTCTAGAATCATGTCAATTTGCATAAGAACAATTTCTGAAACGTTTACTGGCATTACACAGAATTTGTAGGAAACTTGGACAGAATCAAATGTTTTAGAGTATTGGGGGAGAAAAAAATCTATACACACAAAACTACACACACTACCTCAGAAGGCATCCACTAAGGTAAAGCACACTTTCCATTTTCTGGCACTCATCTTACTCTGCCGTTCGCTCCCGGAGACTTAACTAATCTTTCTGGGCAAGAAATCCTGTTAGCACTGTGTCTGTGGTGAATCTTCCTCAGCTTGAAGTTACTTGAAAAGGGTTATTTTAAAATAAAATGTATTATTTGTGCCTGTACGTGCATGCACGCATGTGTGTGTATGTGTGTATATGTGTGTATGTGTGTATATGTGTGTGCGTGTGTGTGTGAGCAAACCACAGAACACACATGGAGGTCAGAGGACAATTTGGAAAACCGGTTCTGTCCTCCCACCAAGGATCCTGGCATTGAATTCAAGTCACCGGGCTTGTACAAGTGTTTTCCTGCTGTGCCACCTCACCAGCACTGGGTTAATTTTAACAATTATTACTGTGGTACATAGGGTGTCCAGGAAGATAGGTGTGGTGAGCCACAGAATACACGCAGAGATCGGAGAGTAACTTTATGGAGTTGGGTCTCTCCTTCTTCTTAAATGGGCCCAGGCTTTGTGTTTTGTCTTTGTTGGGGCTTTTTTTTTTTTTTTTTTTTTTTTTTGAGACAGGTTCTCTCGACCTAGTCCCGACAGTCCTAGGATTCACTATGAAGGCCGAACTCAAAGCCATCCACCTACCTCTCTGCCTCCTGAGCACTCAAATTAAAGGTGTGCACCACCATGCCTGGCTCCAGGCTTTTTGTTGTTTGTTTGTTTTTTGACACAGGGTTTCTCTGTATAGCCCTGGCTGTCCTGGACTCAACTTGTAGACCAGGCTGGCCTGTATCACACAGAGATCCATCTGCCTCTGCCTGCTGAGGGCTGGGATTTAAAGGTGTGCGCCACCACACTGGGCCAGCCTTTTCTTTTTTAAAATGAACACACGGGCTGTATAGTTTTAGGACAGGAGAACTTTCTTTCAGGACTTTAAAACTTCTTTCCTTTTGAACCACTGTAGATGAGACCACTGGGCGTGCTCTTAACCCTGCTCTCCCACAGCACAGCCCCACGTTTTTAGCCTCCAGGGCTACGCTACCTCGCATTACTCTCCCTGAGGTCAAAAAATTCACTAGCAGTTCCAGGCTGTCCCTGTCACTGCTGCCCTGGTCACCCTCTCCCCACGCCCCTGCTCTCTAATTCCTCCACACACAGTAATTGGCCACATTTTCTTTCTTCTAAGACCGATACTTGGCCAGGTGTGGTGGCGAATACCTTTGATCCCAGAACTTGGGAGGCAGAGGCAGGAGGATCCCTGTGAGTTTGAGGTCAGCCTGGTCTGCAGAGCAAGTTCCAGGGCAGCCAGGGCTACATAGGAAGACCCTGCCTCACAACAAAACCAAACCAAAAATGCTGCTACTAGACAATGCTCACTGAAGACTCACCCTCCGTTTCTTACTTCCTGGTCAGCATTCTGAGGTCAAAGGTGTTAAAGTCCATCTTTGACAGTTTTCAGAAACATCAGCCCTGACACTCGCAAGAGAGGCTTTAACGGGATGAGGTAAAATCGTGTAACATAAAATCAAACACTTAAATCGCACAGCGCAGCAACTACTGGTGTTGCACCGTCAGCTCTGAGATCGAGTTTGAAAACAGTCTCATTGCCCAAGTGGAACGCCACATTCTGTAGCCAGCCACGTCCCTGAACCCCTGGCGAAAACTGTGTGCTTCCGGCTGCAAGGTGCCTCTCCGATCCTTCAGGGAAATGGACTTAGCAGACCTCCAGGTCATGGCTTCCTTCCCTACAGTGTCTTCACACTCACCCACACTGGCACACACCGGTACTTCTCCTCTTTGTATGTTTATGTCTCGCTTTGTTTGGTCGGTCATCTGGTGACGGACATCTGTGGTTCCTCATTTTGGCTCTTGTGAGCAATTCTGCTACAAATATTTGTGTTCATGTATTTGTTGGCACTTCCAATTGTTTTGATCACATACTTTGGCTCTCCTGCAGCTTCAGTTTTTAGGTGGCTAACTATGGTCTGAAAATATTAAATGCAAAAATTCCAGAAGTAAGCAATTTTTAAATTGGGGGGGGGGGGGTGTTGTTTTGTTTTGTTTTTTGAGAGAAGGCCTCACCATGTGGACCAAGCTGGCCTTAAAGCTCACAGAGATCTGCCTCTGCCTTGTCAGCGCTGGGTGAATTCATGTGCCACCATACCCGGCTCCAGTTCCCATGGCCTTCTTACTGTGTACTGTTAGGTTTTACCACGAGCCATTGTGATCTCCTGGGCTCCTTTGGAGCTTCAGCTTTAGCTGCGTAGGAGAGAACAC